AAATGCTTCACACCCCCTCACCATAGGCTTGTGTTACTGCTTCTTGGAAATCATTCACGTCCTCTGCCAGAAATATCCTCATTCACCTGCCAACTTCAGGTGCCTTCTTTTCATAAAGGTTAGTAGTTGAGAGGAGGGTAGTTTCTTGCACACAAGAATGTCATAACTTGTCAGGAGGATGTTTCTGGTGCACTCATAAATGTTAAGACCATTGTCTTTGACAGTATGGGTGTTACGCTGATGGTAGGAGGAATTCTTCAAGAGCCTAGCGCCAATTGTTCTGGCATTTGGTGTAGGAACAGCATCATTCTTCAAGTGGGTCACTCTGTCCTTGAGCTGGGAATCTTGTGTGTGGAAAGGATATATGTTTATAAGAAAATGACAAAAAGGCTACTAGGGGAATTCTCGTATATTAAGTGATCTATGTGTAGAAAAACAAACTAGTTTCATAGAAACTATATTCAAATGGATATTCAGTTCCAATATTTTGTATTTTCATCAAGTTTGGGCAATGAATTTTCATTTGGTATTTCACCATAGGTCCGAAAAGTTAAAAAATTTCAAAGCTTATTTTGCTAGATATTTAACCTACCAATACTTTGAAGCAATTCCAAATTTGATATTGCCAAACTGTCTTTCAAAATTGATGTTGTGTTGCCATAAGTGATTGAAGCACCCTTGAAATCGGCTTGATTTTTGGAATCAATCCATGGAGACGTTTATGTTACAAATGTTTCCAGACGATTCCGGCTCCAACCCTCCTCATGACTGCTCTGTATGAATATTTTTCTGTAATGGATGACGTGGGACCAGGGATGGTGTTAGCGTAGACGAGTGTCCGGTTTTTCCGTAGATTAAGTGTTGCAGAGTAGAGGTGTAGTATTTGCAGAACCTGCCAGCGCATTATCAACGTTCGAGAACACAGACGATCTACATCTGTTATCAACAACTTCTCGGAAATACAACCAATGACGTTTTACATCTGTAACTATTGCTTTGTCATTTCCGAAACAAGGATGAGTACAGTTATGTCAGAGCTATTTTGGGTACAAATACTTCAGATTAAGGTTGGGTTTGTTTCATGGGTTTGAGGACAACTTGCTGTTATCATTCTTAAAAGAGACAACAGTTCAGATGCACTTTGGACAAGGCACCCCTTCAACTGTAGCTGGGGGCGGTCGGTTAGCCTAGTGGTTAAAGCGTTCACTCGTCACGCCGAAGACCCGGGTTCGAATCCAGACATGGGTACAATGTGTGAAGCCCATTTCTGGTGTCCCCCGCCATGATATTGCTGGAATATTGCTAAAAGCGGCGTAAAACCATACTCACTCACTCACTCACTCAACTGTAGCTGGGTGGAAATTAAAAACCATTTTGAACAATATGAATAGGAATCATGAATATTGATTCTGAGGATACTATTTCATAAAAATATTAATGATTTGTTGGGTATGTTGGTGGAACTTCGGTTAATGTTTCAGTATATACTACTCAGAAGGAGTTAAAGAACACCTGATTCTTCTTTATTACTGTGGTTAATCTGTCATTGCAGGATAGAGATTAACTATAGGAATATCAAAGAAAAAGTGTTCTTTAACCTCTTTTGAGTAGCATATCACAAGAAGTCAGATTAAGGTGGGAGGAAAGACAAGGTCGGAGGTCAAAGTTAGGTTTTAAGAAAATATTAATATTTGAAATGATTTTTAAGTGTAAACATTTCATTGAAGAAATATCAAATCAGACATGTTGATTCCTCTGTGCAATACCCATGTGGTTAAAACAATAATGGTTGATAATTATCTTATCAAGTTTTTAATTTACTTCACAAAATCTACGAAATTTAGGAAACTATCACATGACCAATACGTACTTATCAACAATTTGTTTTCATGTTTTGCAAGCTGTTGTTGGGGAAATAGTATCTATTTATCGGTAACATGAGAACACTATCTGTAATTGTTAACACAGGATAACCATCTGATACGTATCTTTACGAAAAACATGAACAGGAAAACAGGGGTTTTACGCTTATTTGCGTCACAAGTATTAATTATGCATCATTGGATTACAATACAAGTCTGACCAAACAAGTTAGGTAAACAAATAGTTGTGCAGATGGGAGCAAGACTAATTTGAGGTCAATATTCACACGTCCAATCAGCAAGTGAAAATTTCTGGAGTGCTTGCCATGCCCTCGATACCAAAGACCGTAGTTAACGCTTCATTAAGTTTCAAGGCAAGTACAGCCCGTAGAGGGCTCTGTTTTCTACGGCAAGTGGAGAGGGTCTCTGACGTCAGCGCCATCTATCAGATTTCGATGCAAAGAAGTGGTAGTGACGTCGGTGTAGGGCCTGGAAGCCCCGGCAGCAAAACAGCGACGGAGCGAAGCCCCAGGGATACAGTCAAAATAACATGATGGAAATATGTCATGGATCAGAGATAATATATAGGTCTATGGGTTGTGCAGATGCTGACTGAATCACATACCTTTCATCAGATGTATGTTCTGCTATTTGGGGTTGTAATTAAGAATTCTGGTTTGATAGAATCATGACTGTTTCCTGAACTACGTTTTCTGACACTACAGAGTCTGAGATTTGAAAATTGGGTTTTTAGAGGAAATTTTGATACATGTATATGATATGTTATTTCAAGATGGTGATATAAGGTTCTGATGGATTATGAAGGGCTGAAGAGTAAATCTTGATTCATTTTGACCAGTTTGAAATTCACATCACATTAGTACATGTCGTATGGATAAGTGAATTGCTAGAAACTATTTGTTTCATTAAATAGACTAAATGTTTGACCATAACCCCTGTGTTTACGCACATAGTTTTAATTATCAGGCAGATAAAACACATTGAAGATTACAAGAATTAATGTGATTAACAATTTATTTGATATTCATTTTATTAAAATTGCTTATTATGTCCAGATTAAGTATTTTACCCAATTTATGAAGATATGGAGGTTAATTCATATGTCTTACAGGAACAGGAGTTATACTATGCTACTCAGATGTTGATAGGGTCATAAGCAGATATGTCCATCCGTTTATACACTTGATGTTATGAGAATCACTTTTGTATCATGGAAAGATGGAAATATCCCTATCAAGAGTGGTGTAGTATAGTTCCCCAGCATCTGACTGCTTGTAGACAGTAGCTGTACTAGATCAGTTGGTCAAGCTTGTGGATTGTGTGTCATTGTACTCAATCACTGGATTGACTGGTTCAGACTCTATTATTTACAGGCTGTTGTGATGTAAAGTTGGTGAATATTGTGGACAGTGAAACACAACGAACAAACCCAGCAGTACTGATAATAATACTGATATTCATGACAAGAATACTCATGATCACATGAGGTTTTACATCAGGATAATGAGGAGGGGGGGGGGGGGGGGAGGCTGTGAGGGCAACAAGAATGATATTGTCTGTGTCACAAGTTAATAGGGTACTACATGCCAAACTCATATCAGTAGGAGTATTAAAAGAGATGATCAATTAAAGTTAAACACTGGTGTGTCCACCACTTGTCTTGAAGTAAAAGCTTGGTCCTTGTGTATTCCTTAATTATTCATGAAGGTCGGGTAGCCTAGTGGTTAAAGCGTTAGTTCGTCATGCCGAAGACCCGGGTTCGATTCCCGACATGTGTACAATGTGTGAAGCCCATTTCTAGTGTCCCCCGCCGTGATATTGCTGGAATATTGCTAAAAGTGGTGTAAAACCAAACTCACCGTATTTATTCATCATTTTCAGTTATATCAAACCTCTGTTAACTTGGATTATCTGTGTGGGTCCCTTCAACTCCATTGTGTATGAATTTACATGGATAACAAATTTAATCTACATCACAGTGCTTCATTTTAGAGGATGAAAACCTAAAGTGATGAAAATGATTTTTGAAAAGTCCCCTTTTCCTCCAGTTCATCAAGTGCATATTGATTGGTGTCTAATTAATGCAACATGCACCTAATCCAGACATCAGGTGTACCAAACAGGATGTAGCCAGTGACAATGCCTTGCTCGTCTAGGAGGCGTGGCCAGCCCAGGTAACCTCTGAGTCATACATATCACACACCTGAATGATATGACGCTATAGCTTGACCACAGCTGGACCAATCCTGATATTCAGCTTGTCTGTCAATACCTCCCGACCAATCAGCTTCAGTGTGAACATGTAGCTCTGCACCCAGTTGCATCATCGCAGCCGTGCGATAGCGCGTGCTCATTGATTACATTACACTGGCTTTCATGCTGTGGGTATATATAGCTGGGCAAGCCGCGCTGGCTCTTCAGTTCTAGAGAGATCATTAGAGGAGGAGGTAGTATCTGAGAGCAAGCTTGCTGCCAAGTCTATTCTTGTTAGCGCCGCAGTCCATTGCAAGAGTACCAGGCTTGATACTATCGGTGCCAGAAGTGGTTGTTTGCTGGGTCTGTTTTAAGTTACCAGGACACCTATGCCAACAATGGTTTGTAGTATATTTTTTACTGTAGTTTGTGGTGTTTGTACAAAACCTCCAAGTTTGTTGTTACACTTTGAAACACTCTGGGTTTGTTGAAGATGTATTAAGAATCCTACTATTAATTACTTGTAGACTTCCATTTCACAAACATCTTTCATACATACAGGTTATGGAGTTACTGTCACTGATTGAAAGGCGATAAAAATGTTTTTGGTGAAGATATTTTAAGTTTCGTATCCATGATTTGTAATTGAATGGTTAATAGTGGACATATCACTTGAAAATATGAAAATGTACTATTTTAAAGATTTATAGTCTGTAATTTTGCTGATATGCAATCAAAGCATATCTTGTTGGCCTAAAATTTGGGTAAGACTTCCGACCTTAAGAAGTAATAAAACTCTTTTGACCATTTTACTTAAAAATATTTTTTCAGATGTCTTGTCTAGCTACAAGAGGCTAAGTTTAAAGAACTGTTTGAGGTGAAGTTTGATTTTTTTAAACTGTATTTATTTATTTGTTGTTTCAGGGGGTTCATTTAGAAGAACCATCATCGCCCTTACAACAGCAGTGGTCAACCTCTGACCTAGATGAATTTGTGCGTCAGCTGACCAACCCAAAACACCATATATCCAAAGTGTCATCAGCGTCACCAATGTCACCAACATCCACGACACAGCCATGTGTAACATCACCGCGACAAGGCAGTGTGGACAAAACTCAAACATCCGACATTTGCACAGACTTTCAAACAAAGTGCACAGTGAGACGCGCTTGTGTTACTCGAGGCAAATCGGATGACGTCACCACATCCCAGTCCCGATTCAAACTGGGGAGATTAAGACGAACAAGACAGCGAAGTTCGGAAGGGGACAGTGTTGAAACTGTAGAGGCCTCAAACAGCTCTGTGGGGGACGATGGAATCTATGACGTGTCCGAAACCTTCCCGCTCAAATCCCCTCCCTACCATGTTGAGCATCATGTGACATTTACATGTGACACTTCCCCAGACGGTTCCGACACCGAACATACAACACATAAACCTCAAGAGGAGGTAACCCCGTGCAAAAAAGACTCTAAAAGGAGGCGATTCCGCAAAATGCTGACACGACCTCTGCGACGGAGTCACAGCGCAGGATGTGCCAAGGACATACCTGCTCATGCTTTATTTCTACAACACCAGGGGGACACCGAGATAGAATCGGTAAGTAAATCTCTTCTCATCCAAGGCGCTGAAGTTGACTGTGTGGCGTTTTATCCCATAATCACGCTAGGGTTGGTTCGAATCCTGATTATGAACATTGGTTTTTTAGCACAATAGCTGTAACTGTGCAATGTCATTTTAGCACCATAACTCTGCCAAATGTGTAATCCTGTCTGTCACCTTGAGCTTTCCTCCCAGATTAGGGGGACATCATGAAAATACTGTTTTCAAAGGGGCATAACTCACTCACTCACTCACTCACTCACTCACTCACTCACTCACTCACTCACTCACTCACTCACTATTGGTGGTTAACACTGGAGAACATAATCTGTGAATTTCAATTGTCTCAAGCTTGAACTTTTCATTAGGATGCTGTTCAGTTAAGCACTGAAGCAAACCCACTCAGTCACAGTTCAGAAACAATTAGAGATCAATATTTCTTATAAAAAAAACCTATTCTTTAACATTTAAGGTATCTTTGTAGAAATTTTTTTTGCATAATCTAGTTACCATTTGCACTACAAGTTTAAGGAAATATTTGCTTCTTGATCTGCACTGGAATATTAGAGCATGTTCAGATATAACATAGGCAGTATTGGCGCCATATAGCGACAACTACACTGGAATGGCAGGGATGTGTGCTGGTTGTAAAATGGTTATGGGGATAGTATGCAGGCTAAAAATAGCTCCTGGAAAAAGCTGATGAGGAAGACGTAGTGACGAATATAGCTGAGGAATGACGTGGGTGATGAACTCTAGGTCCCTGTATTGATCAAACCCCGGTCTTAATGTCGATTTTCCCATTGCGTCCACAAACACGCCACAAGACATCGGCATTATTGATTAGAAATATTCCTGCATCTCTGTAGAGTTCATCAAAGCAGTTAGTCAGTCCAGCCTTCTAACTATGCCACGGCTGATATATCATAGTGTCTGCCATCTGGAAGTGTAGCTATTTCAAAGTACTCAACGACCATCTCCTCCAACTCTACCGTGCAGCCATTGTTGTCTGTGAGTTCTCTTTTTTGCGATGTCATTAATTGTAGATATTTCGTATTCAATTTTATATACATATATGTGCTGAGGAAATCTTTATGTGTCACTAATGTCAAAATGGGTTAGATCAATGAGTTAGTTTAAACAAACGAATTAGGCGTGGCGGATGGAATGTTTTTAAAATGGGGGCAAGCCATATTTGCATATTTGTCACATGGATGTTGGTCCTTGTTGGACTGCCACGTGCCTCTTTCACGTTCAGCTACACGTGAATATGGATTTCTGATGGCAAGTTGGTCTTTTCTTCAGGCCTTAGAACAGACAAATTAATAGTTAAATAGGTTTAGCAAAAAGGTCTTGTTTTGAGGAAAGAGAAATTGCTTCCAAGAGATCATGCGTGGGTTGCAGCTTAGTGAGTGATAGGTGAAGCCATATTTAAGGATGCATTTTCCTCAACAAATTTACAAGCATTATGCATGGTGATTCTTTGTGAAATGGATTTAGCGTGTAACTTCTTGATCTTTAGGCAAGTGGGTTTTTTTGTCGAACATTCCATATGGGTACCACTACATCATATGATTAACGGCTGTAGAATTATGTATTGAATGGTGTTTTTTTAGACTGGCACAAGTCTCTAAGGCAATGAATATTAGTTTTTATCATAATTCCTAGATTCTATGTATAATAAGCACAAGTTGTTCCTGTAAAAGTCTGATGTCCTTAGACTGTTCGCTAATCTAGACTTGTCTGTTATAAGGATGGAATTAGTATACATCCATGGACTTATCGTTCAGTATACATTTAGTCTCGGTCTCACATAGTTTTGTTATCAATCTAAAATGTCAGTAATCCTGATTTGTTTGAGGAAATGGCCGATCTGTTGAATCATCTTTGAATGATCTTTATTTATGATCACAATGACACGATTCACAAAAGGACATGACAAACATGATGACAAGATCAGGCAGTTTCCATGGGATTGTGTTGTTAGGTGCGAAGCAATATATATACACCTGATGACAAAGTCAGGCAGCTGCCAAGTGACTGTCATCAGACACATCACGTTGCGAGCTCTTTCGTTATTTCTAGCAGTTTCATTATTGGATGTCACGACATTCCACAATTCCTAAGCCAGATATTTATTGCAGATTGAGAGTCGAAGACTGAAGCTTGTGGCGAGCGAGTCCACTGAGTGCGAGACAGGCAGACGACCTCCACGCCCGATACACAAGACATCTTCAGCCGATGCTGCCATGATGGCATCAGATGACATCCCATCATTCAGCAATCAGGCCAGGGCAAAGTCCCGAGGACTGTAAGTACAATATTTGAAAATTTTACATAAATGTAAATGTATCTCAATAATATTTTTTTCTATTTATAGTCAGCCCGATTTGAACATGGTGTTTTGTTTTCGTTGTTGACAAGGTTGTGTTTATTCACAGAGCAAAGAACATGAAGAAGAAGCTCCAGTTCCTGCGTCGGAGACACACAGACACATCTCTTGGTGTGACGCTCCGAGGAGAGAACGGCAAGATCTGCCACCTCAACCAGGAAGACATCCAACAGTGGAGCAAGTCCTTCGAGGCTCTCCTCACCGACAGACGTAAGTACCCGTACCCGCTCAAACTAGTTGCTCTCATTCCAGAAGGTTGTCTCAAGAACATTAACAATACAAATGAAATTTGGTTAAAGTCTAATATCTGGTTGTGGTTGATGGTAACTTGGCTATATAATCCACATATTTCAAATTTTCATGAGGATATAATACTGATTGATTTTATTAGTAAGTCAGCTCTGAATATAGGATTTAACAAATATTTTATGAACCATTACAATCAGATTATATCACTCATGTCAAGGGCACTAGTTTACTGATATCCTTAAAGATGTGTGGGTTAGCCTAGTGGTTAAATTGTTAGCTTGTCACACCGAGAACCCAGTTTGATTCTGGGTACAGTTTGTGAAGCCCAATTCTATCGCTCACCGTGGTATTGCTGGAAACACTGTAAGACTGAACTCATTGACACTTGTAGCTTGTTCTTTACCTGTTCTTGTTCTTTATCTGTTCCTGTTCTTGTTCCAGATGGGCTGGAGTTGTTCAAAGGCTTCCTCAAGTCGGAATTCAGTGAGGAAAACATTGAGTTCTGGATTGCCTGTGAGCAGTTCAAGACGACTAAGTCCAGCAAACTCACCTCTGTTGCCAACAAGATCTACACCGATTTTGTGGCAGTGCAAGCACCAAGAGAGGTGAGTCTACTCTTACAGCTTGTTTATTAGCTCCTGCCACCAAGGTGCTGTATTTCCGTCTGTCCGTCCATCACGTTTCATTGCCGGAGCTGGGCCCACTTGCACAAAGCGATCTTAGCGCTAAGATGATCGTAATACCCATACTTTAGCATAGGGTTACAATAATCTTAGCGCTAAGATCAATTGTGCAAGTGGGACCAGCTGTGGCCCAGAACTCAAAAACCATGAGCATAATCTTAACCAAACATGGCACATAGATAGGTCTCGTGGTGAACTGGTGCCTTTTCATAATTTGGGATTGTTTGTCCAATGCCCTAGTTCAGTCTCTTGCCTACTGGGTGTGCCTGTAGTGATATAGAGAATCTCACCCAAGTTTGTTCCAAGATTAACTATGTCAAAGCAAGTTGATCACAGGTACAAATATCTGAAGCAGAGAGATTAGTGTTGTCATGGTAACTGATGACATCACAATGGTCGGCAAAGCATAGTGATGCATTTTCATTGTAGTGGTAGGTCCTAAGAAATATCACTTGAACCCACCCACGTGTTGTAGCATCTGTGAAAGCCAGTTTGGGATCATAAAATACTTTCTGTCGACTTTAGCAGTCTAGTGTTTGCAGTTCACTAATGTTTCTTTTCTTTTCTGGCAGATCAATCTCGACTCCAAGACTCGAGTGAAGACCCTAGGAAATCTCAGTCAGGTGACTCGACAGACGTTTGAGGATGCTCAGAAGCGAGTCCAGGCACTGATGGAGAAGGACTCCTACCCACGCTTCCTCCAGTCAGAGCTATACCAACGTCTTCTCATGACCCCTCAGAAATCTTGAACTCTCTCCCGGTGTAAGAGACACGATGCAAACATTCGAAAGACTTGCAATTCTGTGACATGGAAAAAAAACAGACTTCTAATCTGTGATTTGCAAATCATTTTTTTTGCAAACTGTTGAAACTTTGCGCTAAAAACATGACAGACTTGTTTGTGCAGACTTCAACACCTTTTCCAGTTGTGAAGAAGGCAGATATTGAACGTGGAAGTGGAAGGTGAAACTCACTTCCACATTGGTGGACTCAGGGTTCATGACATGGGATGAACCAGGGTAAATGCAGATTGCGTTTTGTGTAATTTGCAAGAGTGGGAGAACATATTAGTGCTCACCATGTTTCCAAATACCATATTCGACATAATAAGTGCCTACGGCGATATTTGCAAATATATTGGCTAGTGAACAATCCCAATTAGCACCCTTCCGATTGATCAATGTACACAAGACTTATTTATTCGTGTATAATACGCACTCGTGTGTTATATGCACCCTAAATTATGGGCAATTAAATTCTGGAAAAATATATATGTCGTATATTAACATCTCAGGCCGTCAGCATAAACCACGAAATTTACGATCTTTCAACCAAAATAATATTCTAATAAGAGCCTCCTATTTCTAATTTTGAGAGCGCCCTGGGTGCTTATTACGTTGAATACGGTACACTGAAAGATATATCCTATTTTACCACTCATCACAACGTATATCAGTGTCATATAGGATATATATGCACATTGACACTCCATCACACAAGAATCGCATGAAAGTTGTATGCCTAATGCAAATCCATCACAGTCATGACTAATCCATATCTCTCAAAACATCCCTCACATTATGTACAGCTTTTTTGTTAATACTTTGTTTTTTCAATAATCAGGGTTTGTTTTTCAACTGTTTTATGCTAATGACAACGATATACTGGCAACTGATAAATCGAAATTGATATTATTCATAGCTCAAATCATTAATGTGGAAGAAAATATAATGTGAATGAATTGTGTCTGAAATTCTTGAAATGACTTTTAAAATTGACACATTTTCAATTAATTGTGCAATTATTCTGAGCAATAGTTGTTATATGAAAAAATGTTATGAAATCTTAAACATACATGTAGTCGAGTTTAGGCAGGGTCGGGACATCTGCAATTTGAACATGCTACACTCGTTATGCAAACCTGTTTTTGTTATTCAACTTTTTATTGTTGTTGATAAGTTTGGTGTTTTTTTCTCCCTGGACTGGTTTCCGGGGTACAAGTTGCAGAAAGTTGGATGTTGTGGTTGTCATCAACAAATAGTTGATAGTGCATAATTTCACTACTATAAACTCATTTACCAACATTCACACTTTATATACCATGTTTTGTATAGAGTCAATGAAAAAAGAAACGGAAAAAACGTATAAAAATACATTTTTATTGTATTGTACGATGTTGAATGAGAAGTTGTGTATTTTGTGCTTTATACATGGATCCACTGTCCAAAGAAATAAAAGTTATTATTATTGCTATTTTTTGTCATAGTTATCTGTTTATGGGAAGTTTTACTACAAAACTAGGGGCGGGCATGTGGCCTAGTGATTACAGCGTTCACTCATCACGCTGAAGACCCAGGTTCAATTTCCAACATGGGTACAATGTGTGAAGCCCATTTCTGGCCCCCTGCCGTGATATTGCTGGAATATTGGTAAAAGCGGCGTAAAACCAAAGTCACTCACTCACTCATTTACTACAAAACTAATATGAGTGAGTGAGTGAGTTTTGTTTAATGCTGCTTTGAACAGTATTCCAGTTATATCACAGTGTTTCACCTCAAGGGCAGATCCAGCATTTTTTAAAGGGTGGGGGCCGAAATATCAAAATCCTCTCAGTCAATTGTACTGCCTACGACATACTACATTTGGTTTTCAAAAGGGGGGGGGGGGGTCCAGACTGCCCTGACCCCCTCTCTGGCTCTCTGGATCAACCTGTGCAGCTTGTGGGAGACAAGCCAGTGATGTTGGTGTTTACCACTTTGGTGAAACACACGAACACAGTATGGGGCTGACTAACCTATAAATATTTGTAGGACGAACCAGGATTTGAATCCACGATCATATAGGTTCCAAGCATGCCCGCAGGACACAACTCTTCACAGCGAATAACAAGGAAATTTAAATGAAGGATGCCTGGGTTCTTGAGCCTATCAGATGTTAGCTTCCTAAAACAATACAGATTCATTTCTCTGACCTCTGTACTCCGGGAATTGTGCCCTAAATTAAGGAATACCCACAGACAATTCTCAATTGTAATCCTCATTGTGCTTCAATGCCACTGCTCCCTGAAAGAAAAGGATTTTAAATATCCAAAACTCCAGTCCCTTAAAATACTCATTCAGATCTGAACAATCAGATATGCTGCTCTCATTGCTTTGCTAGCTTTGTTTTGAAGCCTCATCTCTGACTGGCTAGAGAGAGGTGACCCGTCATGACCTTTGGATAGTTGGTTTGATGTGATAGAGGCAGTGAGTACAAGATCTGATGTTAATGAGATTAGCAGGCCAAGTTAGTGTTTGTTTATTGTGTGACACCGAACTCAGCAATATTCCAGCTATAAGACAGAGGTCTGTAAATAATCGAGTCTGGTCCTGACAATCCAGTGATGGATATCATGAGCATCAATCTACGTACTTTAGATACGATGACATCAACCAACTAGATCTGGTTAGTCACCTCTTACAATCAGTCTCATTAAATATCCGATCTTATTTCTCACTGCCTCTTAACAAAGATCTGAGGACATCCCATTACAGGTCAGGTCAGAAAGACCTTTCCCAAACTTTGACCGCATAATGAAGTCACTAACAGGAAGCTCAACATTATCCAATCAGAAAGCTTCTTTCTCAAACTGTGCGGTGCACGTGTCAAAAGGGTGACTTCCATTCCAGATTAGCTTGAAAAATATTTTGCTGAAGCTCTCGATTCAAAATTTGAAAACGAAAATTATGCAATCTCTGATATATGGCCAAGATTGTGTGGCAGTACTTCCCACAGGTTTTGGAAAGGTTGAAAACCTATCAGAACATACTTGTTTGTTTGTTCTTAAACGCTGCACTCAGCAATATTCCAGCCATTTGACGCCCCAGAACATACTAGACCTATTAGAACATAATAAAGCTATTAGAACATACTAAACCTATGAGAACATACTGAACCAATTGGAAGATTATCAAGCTAGTAGAACATTTTGAAGATATTAAACCTGTAAGAACATACACAACCTATTAGAACATACTTATCCTAGTAGAACATATTTTTGTTCGTTTGTTTGTTGTTTAACGCCGCACTCCGCAATATTACAGCTATATGACGGCGGTCTGTAAATAATCGAGTCTGGACCAAACAATCCAGTGATTGACATCATGAGAATCGATCTACACAATTGAGATACTATGACATATATCAACCAAGTCTGCGGGCCTGACCACCCGATCCCGCTAGTCGCCTCTTTGGCAAGCATAGTCGCCTTTCACGGCAAGCATTATTTGCTGAAGACCTAAGAAAAAGACTTTAGCAGTAAATATTTACTAGCATGACAAAGAATGAGGACTGCGAGACAGTATGATCTGTTTGTTTGTTGTTTAACTCCGCACTGAGCAATATTCCAGCTATATGACGGTTATTGCGGCCATTAGCATTGAGTACAATGCAATCATCTTGCTGTCAGACCCGCGAAGATCCGGGTAGAAATAGGTCTTCAGCAGCCCATGCTTGTCGTAAAAGGCGGCTAACGGGATCGAGTGGTCAGGCTCGCTGACTTGGTTTGATGCATGTCATCGTACCCAATTGCGTAGATCGATGCTCAAGATGTTAATCACATGATTATTTACAGACCGCCGTCAAATAGCTGGAATATTGCTGAGTGTGGCGTTAAACAGCAAACAAACAAACAATAATCGTTATCGTCTTGCAGGAACCCGCCTAAACATTTTTTGAGTGAAGGCAGCGATCCAGTCTTTGATGCAACATGCCAGGTATCAGAAAGGTACGGAAGCCTTTGAGGGCCATTGTTTTGGGGGTTTTTTTCGATACTATCTTGAAATTTCAAGATACTAAGTTGAAATTTCAAGATACTAAGTTGAAATTTCAAGATATAGAAGTTGAAATTTCAAGATACTAAGTTGAAATTTCAAGATACTATCTTGAAATTTCGGCTTAGTTTCTTGAAATTTCAACTAAGTATCTTGAAATTTCAAGATAGTATCGAAAAAAAATAAAAAAACACAAATGCCCCTAAAAGGCTTCCTTGGGATCTTGACATTTCAAGATTATTCACTTCAAACGTATTTTACATCTTAAGATGTTAACTTATTATCTTGAAATTTCAACTTAGTATCTTGGAATTTCAACTTAGTATCTTGAAATTTCAACTTAATATCTTGAAATTTCAACTTAACATCTTAAAATTTCAACTTAACTTCTTGAAATTTCAACTTAGTATCTTGAAATTTCAAGATACTTTCGAAATCTTTTTTTTTTTAAACAAATGGCCCTAAAAGGCTTCCGTAGAAAGGCTTGATGACTGAAATTTTACAGGAGGCCCTCTTTTATTAGACACCTTACATGTGAACTGCTCCTTGACCCTCAGTATTATGTGCACTTCAGTCTATCAGGGTCCGAGTCAATTTCAACCCGAGATCATTAGAAATAACGTTGTTGGTTTTTTCGCCCTGGGAAAACAACAAATTTCACATAATTGCAAAACTCTTGAGTTTGATGTATGTAGCCTGTTGTCTCGATATTCTCGTGCAAAATTTGGTCATACCGAATCATACAATCACGACTGAACATGAGTGCGTGGGTATTATTCCAGCGAAGGGACTGCTACACTCGCTGTTGGTGGCGTGGGTGGCCCTGTCGTGTCATACCCCGTTCACATGCACCTCTAAACATATGTGTGTATATTTGCATAAGTGTGTCAATATACATACGTGAGTATGCTTGTCGTGTGAACGCGTGTATTTTTCACAAGGAGCAAATTTGCATCATGTCTGGAGCAGGTGCAAAAGTAAATGTAAATTTGCACTGTATGTTATATGTTGTGATGATCTAATGGATAGATCTGTTTATTTACCAACACCCACCAAATTGTCAACAGTTCTGTATTCTGAAATTGACACTATAAGTGTATAAGTAGGTGAGTGAGTACGGTTTTACGCCGCTTTTAGCAATATTCTAGCAATATCACGGCGGGGGACACCAGAAATGGGCTTCACACATTGTACCCATATCGGGAATCGAACCCAGGTCTTCGGCGTGACGAGCTAACGCTTTAACCACGAGGCTACCCGACCGCCCGAACAGTGTATAAGGCGTCGATAGTTGCTGTGCATTTACTTGCGTCCAAGACCATGGGTTCCAATTCTGGTTTGCCTTCATAATGTTTCATGATTTGTCAGCACCATACCCGTGCTCGTGGGTTTCACCAAAGTGAGTGAGTTGGGTTTAACACGGCTTTAAACAGTATTCCAGTTATATCGCGGCGTGTCAGCTTAATGTGGGAGGAAAGCCCGAAGTGATGCAGGTATCAGACGTTTACCGCTTCGGTGAAACCCACGAGCACGGGTATGGTGCTGACAAACCTAGAAAAATAATCGGGGCGAACCGGGATTCGAACCCACAATCATAGGTTTCTGGCGTGCCCAAGGGACGCAACTCTGCACAGCGAATCGCTGCGCCTCAGACGACTGGGCCACCCGTGCCCCCTTCACCAAAGGGGTATAAGTCTGGGACCTGTATATCACGTCCATGGCAGTTTCCCTACCTCAATACAAGGGATCTGAAGTGCCGTTACTCACTCACTCACTTACTCACTGATGAAACGAGGAAACACGGTGAAACAAACATGTTATTTGACAAGATAAGTATATATTTTTTGTATCATGAAATAGGTCAAATTTAACTGTCGGGCAAAAGAAAGTATATACCGTTGTTTTGATGGTGGCTAAAATGAAACAAACACGAAATGGTAATGCATTTGATACTGGTATCATAATAATGTTATGGGCCTCAAATGCACAGTGTTTCAGCGACTATTTTCATCTTAGTAACGTTTTTATAGCGTTTGTAATTTTTGTTCAAGTCCAATTTTCAAGTGTATACTTTATGTTGCCCTGCAGTTCACATAAATGTTAAAAATATAATTTAGAGTGAATGAGTTGGGTTTAACGCCGCTTTTAACAGTATTCAAGTTATATAACGGCGTGTCAGCTTAATGTAGGGGGAAAGCCCGAAGAGATGCGGGTCTCACACGTTTACCACTTCGGTGAAACCCACGAGCACGGGTATGGTGCCGACAAACCTAGAAACATAATCGGGGCGAACCGGGATTCGAACCTACAATCATAGATTTCTGGCGTGCTCAAGGGACGCAACTCTGCACAGCGAATCGCGGCGCCTTAGACGGCTGGGCCACCCGTGCCCCCTATAATTTAGAAATGAGAAAGGGGGCCAATGGTTTGACTTTTTTCAGACAATACATTTTAAGAAAAAAAATAAAAAGCATATTTTGTATAATTTCTTATTTCACCAACTGTACGAGTGTAACTTGATAGTTTGGCACAACGTCATATTCAAACTGTATACACGGTCATCAAGTCAATGCACAGTGCGAAAATAAACGTTTACACGTAAATGTCAGTTGGCGTTCTTAATCTCAGCAGATACACTTGCTACAACATTTTCACTGAACGATCCGGGGTTGCCTCCCGCGCAGAGGGACAGCTGAAATACTGATAAAAATACGTGCTAATTGATCCTGTTGGCTTCCTGTCCTGCGGAACAAGATCCAGCACAGTGATTGTCTAACAGATACGGATATATTCATTAAGGCCACTGACGGTAACGTGTCTCCAAATGAAGTTGTCAGTTGTTGTTGAGTTAGAACGTTGCCTTTTTTCATCCGTGACCACTCGTGTCTTTACGGGACAAGCCGAATTATCTTCTTTGCAGGTTACGGAAATGCGGTGACTCATGCTGTTTTCAGAGATGACGTGGGAACAGCAAACGTGTTAGAACGTGAAACGGGATCGTGATACGGAAAACGTAAAGTTCCGCAACGTAATCTGTGAAAGATAATTTCGGCGATATAAAGTCAAGGTTCCTTTGCACGCTTTCACAGTTCACCAAAATAGCGCGGTAACATTCTGTCTTCCAACAGCGTTCCTTCCATTTGTTTCTATGAAAGGAGGGCGGTCGGGTAGCCTAGTGGTTAAAGCGTTCGCTCGCCACGCCGAAGACCCGGGTTCGATTCCCGACATGGGTAAAATGTGTGAAGCCCTTTTCTGGTGTCCCCCGCCGTAATATTGCTCGAATATTGCTAAAAGCGGCGTAAAACCATACTCACTCACTCACTCTATGAAAGGAGGGTCCGAACAAACATAACAAAAACCGATCTCAGCCTCGAGCTACCTCGACCCAAGCACCCAAGACCCCAGACCTCCTCCACCCTCCCAGCGCCCACAAGGACGCTCAAACTCTGCCCCCTACCCCCACGTCAGGCCCACACTAGTACCGAGAACCCCGACCCCGGGTCCCTTGTACTCTCAGACCCCGAGAACTCAGCCATCAGCTCCCAGCCTCCAGACACTAGTACCCCGAGAACTAAAAAACCCGAGAACCCTTGTCCCCCTAGACCCTTGTACTCTCAGACCCCGAGAACTCAGCCCCAGCTCCCAGCCCCCAGACATTATTAGCCCTAGACCCCGAGATCTCAGCACCCAGCTCCAAGACACTGAAAACCCAGCCCCAAGCCCCCAGCCCCCAGCCCCCAGCCCCCAGCCCCCAGACCTAATACCCCAGATCCTAGTATTCTAGACCCCGAGAACCTAGTACCCCAAGACCCTAGTATCCCAGACCCCGAGAACCTAGTACCCCCTGATCCTTGTACTCCCAGACCTCGTGAAGTAAGCACCCAGCTCCGAGACCCCGAGAACCTAGTACCCCCAGACCCTTGTACCCCCAGACCTCGTGAAGTAAGCACCCAGCTCCCAGACCCCGAGAACCTAGTACCCCCAGATCCTTGTACTCCCAGACCTCGTGAAGTAAGCACCCAGTTCCCAGACCCCGAGAACCTAGTACCCCCAGATCCTTGTACTCCCAGACCTCGTGAAGTAAGCACCCAGTTCCCAGACCTCGTGAAGTAAGCACCCAGTTCCCAGACCCCGAGAACCTAGTACCCCAAGATCCTTGTACTCCCAGACCTCATGAAGTAAGCACCCAGCTCCCAGACCCCGAGAACCTAGTACCCCCAGATCCTTGTACTCCCAGACCTCGTGAAGTAAGCACCCAGTTCCCAGACCCCGAGAACCTAGTACCCCCAGACCCTTGTACTCCCAGACCTCGTGAAGTAAGCACCCAGCTCCCAGACCCCGAGAACCTAGTACCCCCAGATCCTTGTACTCCCAGACCTCGTGAAGTAAGCACCCAGTTCCCAGACCCCGAGAACCTAGTACCCCCAGATCCTTGTACTCCCAGATCTCGTGAAGTAAGCACCCAGTTCCCAGACCTCGTGAAGTAAGCACCCAGTTCCCAGACCCCGAGAACCTAGTACCCCCAGATCCTTGTACTCCCAGACCTCATGAAGTAAGCACCCAGCTCCCAGACCCCGAGAACCTAGTACCCCCAGATCCTTGTACTCCCAGACCTCGTGAAGTATAACCCAGCCCCCAGACCCCGAGAACCTAGTACCCCCAGATCCTTGTACTCCCAGACCTCGTGAAGTATAACCCAGCCCCCAGACCCCGAGAACCTAGTACCCCCAGACCCTTGTACCCCCAGACCTCGTGAAGTAAGCACCCAGCTCCCAGACCCAGAGAACCTAGTACCCCCAGACCCTTGTACTCCCAGACCTCGTGAAGTAAGAACCCAGCTCCCAGACTTCGAGAACCTAGTACCCCCAGATCCTTGTACCCCCAGACCTCATGAAGTAAGCACCCAGCTCCCAGACCCCGAGAACCTAGTACCCCCAGACCCTTGTACTCCCAGACCTCGTGAAGTATAACCCAGCTCCCAGACCCCGAGAACCTAGTACCCCCAGATCCTTGTACTCCCAGACACCGAGAAGTCAGCCCCCAGCCCCAGCCCCCCAAAACCCAGCCCCAGACCCTAGTACCCACAGCCCCAAAGAACCCTGCTCCAAGAATATCATATTGTCAGTCCCTGTGAGCCTGATGGTTAAAGCGATGTCTCCTCACACTGTTCAAGACATGGGTTCGATGACCAAACTACGTACAATTCTGAAACCCATTCACACCTCTTTCGTAATACTGCCTGAATATTGCGTACAACTCCACTCGTAAGGGAAGGGGTTCATTATCCTCAAGTGCAATAAATTGCATTACAGGTTCGGGGGCACATTGTCCAATTGATAATCACACGGTGTAGGTGTAGAATTATAGAGGCATTTCAATTAACACCCGACCTAGCTTAATGACTGTTGTGGCTACATGAGGTTCTGGAGCTCACCTTTACTCACGGATATCGGATAATTAGGTAAACACGGACGTAACGTTACCAGCACCTTGTAGCAATGACGTCAAGGCCGAACCGTAATTTAGCAACTTCTGAATTTCCGCCTCTATTGCCAATATTGGTTTTGTCGATGGTGTTAGTGTTGTTACGGTCCCCGTTAGACACAGGTTCGTCAACCTGATTCCTTAATGATCCGGAAGTTGGACTTGTTCCATTCTTCCAAAAGTGTTAACACGGTGTCTTATGTGTCAATAAACTACTCAAAAACACTTCTTTATTCCCTGTTCACATACCTGAGGCTCCGAGTTCACATATTTCATGCAAGCATTAGATTCTGCTCCTTTGAGGGGAACAGATGGCCCAGCCATCTAAAAGGCAGCAATTCGCTGCGCAGGGTTGCGTCCCTTGGGCACGCCAGAAACCTTTGATTGTGGGTTCGAATCAAGGTTCGCCCCGATTATGTTTCTAGGTTTGTCAGCACCATACCCGTGCTCGTGGGTTTCACCGAAGTGGTAAACGTCTAAGACCTGCATCATTTCGGGCTTTCCTCACACATTAAGTTGACACGCCGTGATATAACTAGAATACTGTTCAGCGCGGCGTTAAACCGAACCTACTCGCTAACTCACGCTTCCCCGTTGAATAGTCGATACTAAAATATAAACTGGTGGGCTAAAGTAAGAATACACTTGAAGATACAGACACCTCACTCTGCCCATTTCTGACCCCATGTTTCTTGTGACGTCATGTGTACGTCACGTGGTGTGAGATACTCCTTGATATGATGCATGTATTATCATATAGCTATCTTGCAATATGGAGCAGAAATATGGGGCATAAAATATAATGGCGTTATTGAAAAATTACATGCTTCCTACTTTAAGCGCTTTTAATGGTTGGAAAATATGCTTCCAAAGCTATTTAGGTGAAACAGATCGTTATCCTATTCACGTATTAAGTCAACTTCGAATGACAAAATATTGGTTAAAATTACTGAGGATGGAGCCGCAAAGATATCCATACCAATGTTATAAACTACAGAAACTCTCGATAACACAGGCAAAACGAATTGAGCGTCCAGTGTCAGATATTTATTATTTTCAGGTGGCTATTCCTTTGTGTGGATATCCCAAGATGTAGGGGATTTGTTCTTATACTCTTAGAAATAAAGGTTACAGGATATGTATAGTCAAAACTGGCATGATAGTATATGTTCTTCGCGCTTCTTTAGCCATTACAAGGATATCAAGGAGGCTATAGAACCAGATGAAGTGTGTAAGTATGTTGGATGGTAAATCGCTTGTTAGGGCATTATGTTAATTCAGAGTGTCATTACACAATTTCAGCGTAAATTTTAGACGTAGATGTGTAAAAAGGGACGTTGAAATGACATTCGTGACCAACTCGTGTTATTCCGGGACAAGCCGAATAGCGACTCGTGCCCCTCTCATGGCCATTTTTGCGACCGGGTTCCGTCTTAGCGCAAACGGGCATACCTAAAACAATTGTCAACTCGTTGAGTAATGGTTCCCATATATTTCCCCATATATTATATATATTTCAGATGCAATTTAAAGCACATCGGGACATGCGGAATCATACAGTATGATTGACCACATTTAACTGTGTCTTGGGTATATTTTTAGATGCAAGACATATGTTAAATCAAAAATTGTTTCTGAGGGATTCTTTGACGAAGAAATTGAAATCATACGCGCATTCTGATTGGTTTGTCGTATTTTCGCACATAACATTCATCGATAGGGGGAAGAGTCCTCGTGCAGGTTACGGAAAGGGGCGAGTGGTGACGAATGGTTGAAATGGGTATCTGTAAAAACTGACATTTAGGAGAAATTGATGAATTTCATGTTTAGTATGTGATAAGTATGAACATCTTAGAGAAAATTATTTTCCGATGTTTAACAATAGACATAAAAACTAGATATTAATGATCAATCCAACAACTCTGCTGTTATACGTTCATTAGTCATATTGTTGAAACATATATTCTCTGTCAGATAGTATTTTACATATCATGTATATCACGTGACTAAACCAATGAGACTGAAAATGTCAATTGTACAATCGGCCATGTGGCCTTCAATACCGAATACATTATACATAGTCAATAGCTAAATGTACTGAAACCACTCGGAGGCATGAGAGACTAGTAAAATCAATGGAAACAGTTTGGAACAAATATCCTTAAAATGATTTCATTAAACTTTTTATTGTATTGAATTGTATTTTACTGTATTATATTGTTCAGTACAATACAATACAGTACAATACAATACAATACAATAAAATGTGATCCCGCACGATCATACTTACACATGCTCTGTTACAAACGCAGTAAAACACACGTAAACACACACGCGTACATACACACACGCACACGAACGCAGGCACGCACGAGAGAGAGAGAGAGAGAGAGAGAGAGAGAGAGAGAGGGAGAGAGGGAGATAAACAGGAACAATAATATGGAGATGTAGATGTAGATATAAAACGGTCAAGACAACACTGGACGTAATTGGTACATCACAATCGAATAACAATGTCTTGTTTGTTTCATTTACAGCCACCATCAAACACGGATGTATAGTTTCTTTCTCCCGTTAGGGTATTACCTCACACAGATAGCATGAGTTCCCTGTGGATATTCCGGGTTTACACTGATCCCCAGCAACCGATGCTGGCCGTAACAGGCGACAAAATGAATCGGGTGCACGTGCCCAAGCTCAGTGACCTTGTTGATTGTGGAAGTTAGTTTGAGACAGGACATTTTTTCGATTACTGCTTCAAAACACGCAGTTGCCTTCTTATTCTGCGCAAGGAGGAATCGCTGGATTTATTTTTTTATTTGTTTACAGCACTTTTTTAAGTCCAGCTATTTGGTGAGATTAGGCCAGGGTGAGTCATGATACAGTGAAAGAGGGGAGTGGCCAAAATATATCGCAATTATATGACGGGGGTGGGAATGACAAAATTTCACCGTTCCTTTTTTTCAAATATACAATTAGCGATTTGAACATTAACACAACTGATCAATCATTAGGGGTGGTTGAGTGGACAAATATTACATAAAGTGTGTGTGTGTGGGGGGGGGGGGGGGGGGGCGAAGATATGATAGTTCAAAGACCAATCCCACTTTCTCGTTATACAGCAAATGATACTAAGTATATATATTGGCCACTAATTGTATTACGATTCGTTTCTTTGTCAAGTCTTTGCCTTCATGGGGAATTGACAGGTTTCCGGTAATTTTCTTGAAATCGATCTCCATGTTCACGAGTTACACAACCTACCTTGGCCGTGACCTTGACCGTGACCTTGGTCAATAAACCTTCACACCTGGGGCCCTTCCAATTAAAGGGATAGTATTCCACAGTGAAGGCGACAGAAAATCATTATACGAAATTGCCCAAACCAACAAGCCATTAGACCGATAATGTATGGTCAAATGGGAATCTGTCACAAATGTTTGACTTCAATTGATTCCTTGACAGCGCAAGTAAGTGACGGTCACACACGATGCAAGCACTTGAAAGGTCGAGACTGGGAATTACTGTCATAATATCATGCAATCTATCCTCTCCTGCGAGTTCTTGTAACTTTGAGGACAGGGTGCGAACATCACTCAGGAAGTGGTGCTTCAAGAACTGTTTGTTCGTTTTTTCTTGTGTAACACCCCACTCAGCAATATTCCAGCTATATGACGGCGGCTTGTATATAATCGAGTACAGTGATTGATATTGTGAGCAACGATCAACGCCGTCAGGGTACGATGACACACAACGTCACCACGTCACCGAGCCTGACCACCCGATCCATTTAGTCGATCCTTGCGACCAAGCATTCGCTCGTCACGCCGACGACCCGGGTTCGATTCCCGACATGGGTACAATGTGTGACGCTCATTTCTGGTGTCCCCCGCCGTGATATTGCTGGAATATTGCTAAAATCGGCGTAAAACCATACTCACTCACTCACCTACGAACCAGTAGAAGTTCTACATGTGTTCATGTTTGACTTCATCAGTATGTCAAAAGTGAGCTTCACACATTGTACTCATGTCCGGAATCGAACCCGGGACTTCGGCGTGACGAGCGAACGCTTTAACCACTAGGCTACCCGACCGCCCGTATGTCCAAAGACGTGGCGGATAAGTAAAACATTCTAGATATGTAACCAAATAATAAGATGGCTGTCTGTTAACAATCGTGTCTTGATCAGACGACCAGTGTTTGATATTGGAGCATTATATTGTGAGCCTTATAATGCGATTATACGCTATCAACCAAGTCACCGACCAGTGAAGATCCAGGGTCTTCAGCAAGCCATGCTTGCCGTAAAAGGCGACTATGATTGGCGTAAGAAGCGACTAACGGGATCGGGTGGTCAGGCTCGCTGACTTGCTTGGTGCATGTCATCGTATCCCAATTGCTTGGATCGATGCTCATGATGTCAATCACTGGAATGCCTGGTCAAGACTCGATTATTTACAGACCGCCGTCCTACAGCTGGAAT